CTAAGTATATAAACAGATGGCAAATGTGTTATAATGAAGAATAAGCCATGCCTCAGAAATTTCTTAAAATTCTCTGAAGTAAAGTCCATGAAAATATGGAAAATAATGATCCAACTAGTGGACTAAATTGCAATTTTCTGTAAAACTTTGCACAAAGTCCTCCACCAAAAGGTGCTAAAAAAATTAAAGTAGTGTGACACAAGAGAAAGATCTGCTTGTGTACCTAAAACTAGCTAAAAGGCAGGCAACACACAGACAGGAGTGGCAGTATTCCCCATGGCCAGCTATTTTTATTCTTTTTTCACTGTAATAAGAGAGATGTGGAGAAGGGGTGGGAAAAAGAAGCATCAAAGTTTCATATAATGTGACACCAAACATTAAAACAAAGCTGATGGACTCAATATCAGATATATTATCACTTAGGAAAGACTCCTGAGGCACTGTTGGTAGGTATATGAAAACTACTGCATGAAATTCACTAGCATTAAAAAAAATATATATATTAGCAACTTTAGAAAGAAAAGGAAAATAGGAGACCACCATTATGATACTGCACAAATTCATAGCCAAATGTTATGTATGGTACCAAAGGTACCTGTGAAGATAAACAGAAGAGCAAAATTATATTAGAGGTATTGAATGATTTATATTTCAGAGAAAATAGATTTCAAAAACCAAAGCAGTGTAACAACCAACTTTTGGGCAAATGAAGCAAGGGGAAACAGAAATCTGTTGGATAACTATGAAACTATATAAGGACAGAGTTTAGGGAATAATTTTTCAGCATTTTGTCATGCTATAGGAAGCAGGAGTACCCAACGATAATAAACAAGTTTAAAGCAAACCCAAACCACTGATTTTTATATAATACATACTTAAAAGGTAGGATTTGTTTTGACAGAGCATAGTCTTTAAAGAGCAGCTTAAAGAGCATAAAAAACATAAACTACTAAATAGAATGGTCCAGATGCAACGTGTTTCAGGGTCTCTAAATTGCAGACTGCCAAAAGCAAGAGTCAACACCATGAAAACTTTATTCCATTTTTGGCCTGTCCTTACATATTTTCCCTAGCCATCTGCTATGGGCTACTGTAAAAGACAGAAAAAACAAGAGCAGAAATGGACTTCTGGCAGCTTTCTTATGTAAACGTGCCTTGTGTTTTGGGGGATTCTGTGTAGTCTCTTAGTTGCTGTACATGTTTATTTTTAAATTTTATTTGTTAACATCTTTTCTGCAATTTTCACAGATTCACTGCAACTAGCTGCCAGTTTAATTTGAAATAAAACCCCACAAGCAGCCGTTACTTGGTATTATTTCCTTTTCACAATTTTGTACTTTCGGCTTTTACTCAGGTTTTTATTACAGATGATAGCTCTAGACCATTGTTCTTTAAAAGGACACCAGCACCTTATATTAAATAGTTTTAATTCCCTCTAACTATTCCCCTTTGCCCAACATATATTCTGAGATCCTAGGAAATACCATTTCTTTCCTTATTGATTTTTTCTTTACTATAAAGCAAAACATTGATTTTCTTCCTTCTGTCTTGTGTTTCTAATGGTACTTAAATTAACATGGTTCATTTGTATACCACCTTATGAGGACTAATGCATCCTCCTTGTTGGACCAGCATCACTGATAATAGAATGTAGGGCCCTGAACTTAACTGGCAACCTGATAAATGGTGAGCCAGTTGACAAGATCAACGGTTGGTTTCAGTCTTTCCCTACGCTCTTGGACAAGTCTCTTAATCTAGCCTACCCTTCAATTCTACATACAGAATAGGGAAACTGTTTTTCTATCCCATACATGTTTGAGGATGATTAAGACCTATTAGTGAATGGCATATAAGCTCTAATACCTCTAACAGAGGCACAGTACACCATCCCACTGTTTGGATTCAGAAGAATGAACGTATTACAGTTCCACTGGCACAATCTCTCTTATTGCTGCAGTAATCAGTACATCCTTGAAGCTGTAATATTCATCCTCTCTTAATGAAAAGTCTACTTTACAGGTGCTATTTGACAATACTGAATAAAATTTGTTTTTACAGAACAAATGGATTCTTAAAGTCTCTTGAAAAGAATTTGGTACCACTTATTTTGCTTTCTATCAGTTTGTCATCTTCCTTTCTCTGTAATAGGTGTTAAATAGATCAACATTATCATCATGCCTTGCAGAATTATTAGATATACCCATGTTGTACTTGTTTGCCTAACATTTCTGTGACTCTCCAGTGCAAAGCAATGCTAACTAGCATTTATTCATTTGCTCTGTTTTCTTTACCTCTTGGAACATATTAGGGGTTTTTGAAGCTTTTCTGTTTGTTTTGTTGTTTCGAGGTTTTTTTGTGTAAGTTCAGTTTTGGCTTGTATTATTTTTCTTCCTTTATGTAACGTGATGCAGATGCATCCAGATGCAGAGCAGTCTAAAAGAATGCAAATATGAAGGGGTTTGGAAACAGTTATAAAGACTATCCATTGCTCAGGCATTTGGCAATCAAGTAAGGACCTTTCGTATCTCAGGACAGGTTTCCACAAACTAACAACTCAGAACTGAGTGCTGGAAGAAGCATTCCCAATAATCAAAGTGCTGTTTCTGCCAATATGAGCCCTGCCAAAAGAAAACATCTGGATTTGCCTCCAGCCAGTGCTTAAGACTTGAAAGAAGACCTAGTGTCATAGGATTCTTTCCTTCAGCACAACTCAAAACCACATGGCAAGTGCACAAAGAAATAGAATCCGTTGACTATAGTATTAAAAATTGCTCCTTTAAGAAAGACTAGTTTCCTTGCTGGAGGGAGACAGGTGTAGAGCTACACGGTCTAGTAACAACAGCACTTGGAAATACATCAGCAAACAAGACCCATATCAATCACCACTGGCCTGAAACGGTTCCTGAGCAAAATGCCAGGACCAGATTTTACAGGCCAGAGTCCAATAAGCAACTTTCTTGAAATTGTTTGTTCTTAAATGTTTCTAGAGCTTCATTTTCCTTATGCTTATGTTACAACATCCTATGGCTGATGATTATGAGCTTAGGTGTGAGAAAACAATGCCATGCCTATGGATGAGTTATGAAGACAATAAAATGCAGTAAGTGATAGAAGAAAGCATGTTAATGTTTTAAATTAACTTTCACTAAATTCTGTATCCATTCAGAAAGGAAAATATTTAAGTGAGATTTAATACAGCAAAGTAAACCAAATTTAAAAGAAATCAATGTTATAAATAGACTGATCCACTCATGCAAAGCTGCGATACAAAGCATGTTGCACATCCAGGTGGTATCTCATTTGTACTCTTCAAAGACAATTTTGCCAGTAAAACTGAGCATCAGAAGAAATGAGCACCACACAATAGAAAAATACAGCATAAGTGAATCAGCCATACTTGTCAGAATGTGCTGATTATGTGGAATGTCTCCAGAGTCTGAAATTTGTTCTTTAAAAAAATGAAAAGAAGCCTTCAGTGCTGCACCCAGATTGACAGTCAGCACATGATCTTTTTGTTGGGCTTTTTTTAAAAGCAGCAAAAGAAAATTTAGAGCTCACTAGTTCCAAGTACTTATTAAAAAAGGCAGGCCTAAAAGAGAAAGAATCTCCAAATACACAGGCTACAGCTTCAAAGGAAAAGGAGTTGCCTTTCTTGTGTGCAACAGTATTGACCATCTAACCCACGAGACCCTTCAGCAGCTGTGGCAATTGCACGCAAAGATAATTAACTTGCAGGCAAGTGTTCCAGAGAGATGTGTGATCTTCAGGGGTACCTGCCATGCACAAGGGGCTGGGAAGCATATAATGTAATTCTTCTCAGGATGAGAAACATTTGATTGGAAAACTATATATTGAATTGTGTGAGGCTGATACTGAACTGGGAGTTTTTTACTCCTTATTTTTCAATAGTCAATTCAAACCCAGGAGAAAACTTACTGATAAGCAGTTGTAAAACAGGGTGGTAATTCTCCTCAGGGGAATTAAAATCCTATAGAGTATAAACCACCATTCACATAAACTATCGCTGATATTAACTGGCATCCTTAATTACAGTGCTAGTAGAGACAGCAAGGACTCAACTGGCACCAAAGCTGAACAACCTTCTCATTTTATGTGCCTGCCTCAGCTTCAGCCAGAAGTACAGGAGTGAGCACTGTAGTGGCATGTTGATCTGTTATGCAGAATAAAAGGATTTTTCCTTATTAGTCTCAAATGTTGCACCAAGACTAAAACCCTATCAATATTTAATTAAAGGCAAGCCATATATGACAGTTCTGTTAATGGGCCATGAAGCACCTCTTGCAAGTGGCTCTGGCTGCTACGCATAAGCCTTAGGTTTCCAAATCTAGCTACACAGAAAACAGCTGTGTTGATGGAAATCTCTCAGCTAAACCCCCATGAAACTGAAAATATACCACCTTCTGCTTGCAATGAATGAAGAAAAAAAACCAGATTTTTAACTGTTTGCAGCAGCAAATTAACCATGTCTCAGGATAGTGGTGTATAGTGTATAACCTTGATAGATAGTTTGGGGGGGTGTAGTATTAAAATGACAGAAGAAAAAATACAGATGAGTAAAGAAAGTGATGTTCCACATGTCAGCAAGCTTACCTAAGGAAGTTCCAGTCCTGGGAATGGAGGCAGTTCAGGCTAAATGATCTCTGATCTCTCTCAAGCAAAAACAGTTCTCCCCCTTCATACTATAAGTACACAACACACAATCACAACTGCAGTCTGGTTGAAGTTGAAAGCAATCAATTAGTTGAAAATGAATGAAGTCCACTTGGAACAGATTTCACAAGCTAAAGTGAGAGAATGTTGTAGCACAGAGAAGGGATAAGATTAAAGTGGTAGAGCTTTGTAATAAAAGTGAGGAAGCCAGCAGCTGGGAAACCAGCCTGTGAAAAAAGATAGGATCAACACTTTTTCATCTGAAGAAAGAGAATACGAAGTTGCATCACACACTCCAGCAGCTTTGATTTTTTTCCTCTTCCTTGCCAGAAAATTCCTATGAGGAAGAAAGAAAAAAAAAAGAAAATTATGGTGAGCTTCATCTTGCTTTCCACAGGTAGGCAGAACAGGGCTCTGAAAGAGATCATGTCATTAAAATAGGGTATAAATGTGTGTTTCAATCTACCCATGAGGCCATGTAATTTAGACAGCTCTAGGAAAGTCAACTCCAGTCATCTCCCTTGGGTTGTCCCATGTAATACAGACTCGCCTTAAAACTCTGTATAATCTTTGATACCCGTCTGTCAGTTGCTGCACTTCTCATTTCCATTTTTAAATTTGCATGAAGTACTCAAAGGGCAATTTCATGGCTGGTTTCTGCTGTGCACGGTCAGAGGAGTTCCCCTGTTGCTATTACCAGGGACTTTTGAACGTCTTCATACCTTTTCTTCACTTTGATTTTGTGTAAAGGGGCCAGAGCAAAGCTGCAGATTAGCATGGGAGCTGTAACAGAATGGCATCTCCTTGAATAAGGTAGAGTGCATGTATTTGCATTAATGTTCAGCATAAAAGACACACTTCTTGCTATGTGAATGTGTTTGTGAAATCAAATAACTTCTATCTGACTGATGAACTCTATCCCAAAGAAAGTGCTCTGAATAATCCACTACATAAAAGGAAACAAAAATGCAGCGTATAAATCCCAATGTATTTAAAGTTTGTTCACTTAAGAGATGTTGGAACGAGAGCAGACATCTAATACCCTAATTTCACATCAAGTCAAAGGCATTTCTGCTTTAATGACAGTAAACAATTTCAGGGGACTTTGAAATGTCATTGATTTTGGTTTGTAGTCCTTGGAAATCCAGCTGTCTTTTACTGCCTACCTGGTGCTGAGAACTTGGCTTCATTCATTTACATTTTCATTTCAAGTGTCCACCTTTTATGTTCACTGAGTAGAAATTGTAAAGATACCATGTGTGGAACAGAAGTTATAACCGTTCATTTAATCAGCACAGCTCAAAACAGACTAGCAAAGTACTAGCTATTTTCCTCTGATACTGGGGCCACAAATTCGCATAATACTGGGATTTATCAGTTACTGAGCTTTAGTTTAATGACAGTGGATATCACAATACAGCGCTTCCCATTTCTTAGAAATTCCTAGGGAAACGCTTCTTTTCTTGTTGTTTGTGATATGAGTCCTCTGTCAGGGAGTGCAGATGTAAGGCAGAAATAGAATAATTACTGATGTTAACCTAAGTATACAAGAATCATATTCTCTCTTATTATTTGAAAACTTGCACTCTCTTAATACAACAGGCAAGAGTAGGGCTAGTGACACTTAGTGGATGGCATGATCAGTACTTATTGCAGCAGACAGCAGAGCTTCCCTTTACTTTTGCTGTGTACAGACACTAAATAATACTCTTTTCTTAACTTGCTACAATTTCCAGCTATCAAGTAAAAAACCCCTGGAATTTCAATTGTTTATCTATACTTGCTGCATTCTCAAGTCTGAAAATACCACAATTTCCGCCACTGCTGGGTGAGAGGTAGAAAAAAAGGTATTTCTTTATGTTAAAAAAATAAATAAATTGTGGCCTTTTTTGGAGCAGCATCACAGACAATTTGTGGCTTGAAGCCCAACCCTCATAAAAGTGAACATTGTTTTTGTTCTGAAGACCATTCTTTTGACTTGAGAATTAAGAGATTGTGAGAATGGCTCACTAATGATGCACAGCAGATCAATACAGCCCCTTCTGCAGCACATTTTGGAAGCTGTGCCTTCCAAAAAGGTGATAACAGTGTTTAGTACTCAAATCCGAGTGCTGTCTTCCTGAAGGAAATAGCAGACTTCTTCAGCTCTCTTTGAAGGTGTTCTTCCTGTGCTTGACACATATGTGTGAGTGACTTGCCTCTGTTTTGTGCTGCTCTTCCCCTCATTACAGCTGACACAGCCCAAGACAAACAGCTGGGTTTTCTGAAGTCATATGTTCATTTCCTGAAAACTCAGTGGAATGGGAGGACTCAAGGATCGTGTGTGTGAACCAAAACAATATTGTTCTCCTCCCCAGACAAAACCCCAAACAGCCTAGCACTTCAGGCCATATGCAGCATATGTGTTGGCACCAGAGTCTTGTTTGGCAAAATTTCTATAGTTGCTACTTGAAATAAGAGTGAAAAGAAAAGCACAGCCTCAGCAAGCGAAGTCTTACACACAGCCTGGCTGCACGATCTGCTGCAGAGGAATATATACACTGAAGAAATTCTTAAACATGTATTCACTTTCAGCATTTTTCAGTCCACCTTACTCTCTGAAATAGAAATTAACCCTATGTAACCTCATTCTCTACAGAAAAGTTAATTTAGATTTATTTTCCAAACCACTTTGCCTCCAAATTTGCCACACAAAGACTGCAGAAAGAGTGCACAGGAGGCCTTGCTTTGTCAAAGCCATCATTCTTCTGATATCTAGCCAAAAGATTGTTAAATTGAAATACTGACAACTTACTTTCCCTGTCAAAAGGGCTCTGAAGTCACTGAGGGAGAAGTTAGTTTTCCCTCTTTTTCCTGTCCTGGGCAGAAGGCAGAGAGGAAGCTGTACTTCCGTCATCCACTGCTCCATGGTGTAGTTCACACAGGTTTTGGTACAGAGCACATTTCCCTCTTCCTGACCTTGCAGGGTAGCCTGGCTTCCATGTGTGGCAGAGGCACAAATCTCTCCTCTGCTGCCATCATGGACAGGTTATTCAATCTGTTCTTCCAAGAATCTCGGTTTGTCATTACAGGCTACAGAACCAAGCAGGCTGGCCAGTGCCTCTGCTGTGGCCCCCGGGGAGCTGAAGGGTGCCAAGAGTTTCCTTGTGTCTCTTGGGATCTAGTGATAGAGGAGCATTTTTACCAGAGGAGAAAACTACTGCTTAGGTCCTGACTCCCAGCACACAAGGAACATGCATGATGCAATCAGAAGACATCCTTTTCTACACATAGGAAACCCCTTGTATTCAGTAAATAAAGTGCCATGAGAAACATTTTTTTTCCCTTTTTATACAAGGAAAGGAAAAAAAGAAGATTCTGTGAACAAATTTACCTTTTCCTTTTTGTAAATATAGATTTGATATTATCTGTGTTTTTATTTTTTAGTCTACAGAGAAGTTCTGGCCTCTAGGAAATATATCTCATTTGCCCAGGGTAAATTATCTATATGGTAATTTGTATTCTCTAAATGCTGAAATGCTTTGGCCCGCATTTCACCTTAACAGGAATATTCTCTCAGTTTTGTAAGATGAAATGATATAATTGCTCGTTTGTGCTTTCAAATGTAATTTGCTCATGCTGTTTGTACTGAAAACACTGTGTCATTCCTGAATTTCCATGTTAAAAATCTGCACATAATAGTGACATATGCATATATATATTATACATACATGCTTTAGATATGTATATATCCCAATTTTAAGATTAATTATTAAGATCCTTTTATTTCTTCAGCTATACAGAATGTTCTTTCTCTAATAAGTCCATTTGTGTAAAACCCAACATTTTTAAATAACACAAATGCATAAATATGTTCTAATTTCAAACTGAGACTATGAACATTATTGGGGTTTTTTTTTGTTTTTTTTTGTTGATTCTGAGTAGCAATCATGTGTCATAGCAAAAGATACTGGGATTAATTGAGGCCAGCAATCCGCCAGTTTACCTGGAGGAAACTGGTGAAAGTTCATCATATATGTCATTACCTATGGCAGTAGTCAGTAATCATTAGATAGTTTCTAATGACTAATGGCAGAAAGAATACAAAGAGGAGACAAATATAGGATAAGTCAAACACAAGAAACTATTAATTTTCAAGGGCTGTGTATTATCAAGACTTTTAAGTGAAGGAGAAAAATTAGGCTTAATTGGTGAGTCCAATATATCATACTTTATTTATATCAGTAATCAGTTTAGAGTCTGAGAAGCTTTATATATGCACACCGAAAGAGAAACACAATGCTATGGACCAAAACAAAGAGATGATGAGTTGCTGCAGGATGCAAAGGTATAAGGCTAGCAGGGCTGAATAACTCTGATTGTTATGCACAAGCTTTGGGTCTTGGCATAGCCAGCTGCGATGCTTTAGCTGCATAAGCTCTTGCTCCATCATACCATGGCTGTATGTCCTTCACAGACCTCCACTTTATCGCAGCCCATCTTTCAGGGGAGGAAGTTAGTTTCACCAATTGCATAGCACAGAGCAGGCCCTTCACCTGGGCCTAGCTTGCAAGGAATGAGGGAAGGAAAGAGATTTATTCAACCCATCCTGCTGATGCTGTGGATCAGGGAAGCAAGCCAAGGTTTAAAGCAACAGCTGTCATGGCTGACCTGCCAGGCCAGAGCATCCATCTGTGACTGACCAGCTGCCACTACGCTGAGAACATTAACACAAAAACATGCTTCCCTACTTTTTGCTACACTGTCTCTTTCTCTTTTGTGTGTTTTGTTAAGTTCAAGAAAATTACCTTCAATCTCACAGCAATCAACTTGAAAAGTCAACAACACAACTTTCTCTCCAGCTTTATTTGACGGCCTAAGAGACTATCTGGCAACCTCTTTGGGCCAAAGGGTCTTACATAGGCTGTAGTAGTTTGTCTTGCATAACTACTAAGACCCAGTTTCAGAAGTCACTGAAATTTGATTTTGACTTCGTCTTTCTTGTGTATTATACTTTAAATATTTTCAAAATGGGATGTGTATTTTCTGATGGAAAAAGTAAGTAGAAATATTTATACTCAAAAGCTAAGCCATGTTGATTAATATTGACGAAAAGCAGGATTTCACAATGACAACAGACTTTAGCTTTCCACATCTTGTTATTTCCTGGAAATTAATTCTTGATTAGTTTCTAAATTATCCAGGAGTAAAGTGTTATTGAAGGTGCATCCTCAACCTGCAGAAACACAATAACTAATTACATTAAAAACAAAACACACAATGTTCGAGAAGCAACTTTAGCAACAACTAACTCCTTCCCCCTTTGCAGTTTGGATTTTGGTAAGTAAATGTCTCCTTGCCATATAATTTCTTTCTTGCCTTGTCTTGACATGTCTGCTGACATGTCTGCATAAACAGGCAGCTGCTCCTCAGCTACTCAGATAAGGACACTTGTTCTACAAAGTTCACATTGCATTAGTATAAAGGAGTTGCAAAACTGGGTAATATTGGCAGATAAGAAAGGTATGAACTGAAGCACAGATTCAGTCTGTAGGGGGTTACTGATAAACAGCAGAGCAGAGACTTTTGAACTGATTTCTTACCTCTAAGCAACTAAGCAATGCATCACACTGGCCACTCTCAGTTCTCCAAGACCACAGTAATCAGAACTGTCTCCAGCCCCTTGGGAAAAAGCTACTCCAGCTCTCATGATTTTCTTAGCAGCTGAGTAGAGAAGTATCCCTGCATGCTGGGACAAAAAGACAGTGTTGTTGTATGCTATTGCACAGAGGCCCCAGCTTCATGTCATTACAACCTTAATGATAGAAGACTAAGGCTGGAGTACAGGCAGTACTTTTGGCAGTACCTTTTCTGCCAAAAATAGGATCCCTGTTTTGCGTCTTGTATATTCGCTTCCTCTATCCAGCTGTCATGGGAGGAATTCTGGGTAGAAACCTCAGGCAAATGAAGCTTTTTATTATTTATTTTTTTAAACTCAGCATTTCACTTTCCAGTAACAGAAAAAACAGGGTTTTCTTTCTTTTTGGAGAGTCAGTTTATCTGGAGTTTTAGGTGAATAGTTCAAGCTATTAAAACAGCTCTGTGGTTGTTCTTCCCTTGTTGACTAGCATTGCATAGCAAAAAGCCCTGCTTCAAGGGATTGGCTCAAGCTCAATAGCACATCACTTTATTTCATTTTAATGCTTTTTTTCATATAAGAAAATATAGTATATATTATGTAGGAAGGATGGATATCAATCAACCTCAGCTACAGGGATTAATACATCTATACATTACTACATTACTACATTAATACTACTGAAAGAATTAATGAAAACCTGTCTGGTTTTTTTTTTGTAAATAGGTGAATATTTGGTGCTTTTGTGCTCCTCTGAAGAATGCTTTCTTCTGGAAAACATGCTATGCCTTGAAAGAAAATGGAGTGGATTTGCCAGGTGCTCTGTTCCCTTCCAAACAGTGCCAACACCTCTCCTGCTGTTTATCCTGTGCCGGCCATGCCCATGAGGCAGTGCCATGGCACTCAGGGAAGGTGGCAGCCACACAAAGCCAGGTGCTGACAGACACAAGCATCATTCCGCACCTGCAGAGCTGCTGCCATATACAGTCTCATCCTAATTTGTGTGTCCTCCACTGAGCTCCTTCTCAATCACATGGCACTAGGTGTTTAAGAAGCTAAAGGCCTGTGGTATTATTAACATGGAAAAAACCCATGGCACATTCGAAAGAATTCTTTTTGCCTGTTGAAATGTTATATGACTAGCAGAGGCCAGAGACTGGGTTGCCTAGAACTGTAGCCTTCTTGTAGTACCACTGGTATAGGATTTATACTTTACAATCAAGGTTAGATGGAAATAGAAATTCAGACACTCAGGATTAATTTCTGAAACTTTTATTTGGCTCTAATGTCATTGCAGACTTTGCTTTTTCCAGTATTTTCATGCTACCTGTAGCAAATTGATAAAATAGCCATAAAATGACAATGCTTAATTATATGTCTATACTACATTTGCCAGACAGACCAAACCCACCCCAATGCGGCTTTAAGGTCAAGGGCTCTATTAGAGTAGAGGTTGGTTGGCGCACAAGTAGGGCACTTGCCATACTGACATCTACTATAGCTCTATCGATAGGACCCCACTTCAAGTTAGGCTGCCTAGGTTTTGGCTAATCCTGCCTGTTATTTGCCTATTAATCCTATTGGAAGGATTGATTAATTATTTGCTGGTCATTTTTACAAGCAGGACAAAAGTTACAGTACATTAGTCATATTATTAATGACGTTACTGACACAAGATTTAGGTGAATTTGGTATTTACTACTTATGTTATGTTGCTTTTTCCTGTTCATTGCTTCTATAGAAGTAACATATTCCTATAGAAGCATGGTGACTGAGAAAGATCCCACTTCTTGTATATCTTAATTTTTATTCTTTCATAAACCTGTGCTTTCTCCTCTGATAAGCTTTACCCAAGACTGTTTGCATTTTACACTACAGATATATTTCCTTCTTAGTCAGGCTATTTTTCAATCTCTAATGTTTATGCATTTGGAGAGAGAGTGAATTAAAAAAATAAAAAAAAAAGAAAAAATTCTGAT